TTTAGGCTAAATTGCTGAGGTTCCCACAAGGTTGCCAAGACTTGAGATCTTCCTGCCCCAGTGTTCCAAGTTGCTGGGATTATAGAGCATGCTTCACTGTGCCTGTCTCTACGGCCAACTTTCAAATAATAATAATAATAATGATGGGGCTGGGATTGTGGCTCCGCGGTAGCATGCGTGGGGCCCTGGGTTCAATCCTAAGCAACCACATAAAAATAAATGAATGGAATAAAGGTATTGTGTCCAACTACAACTAAAAAAATAAATATTTTAATAATAATAATGATGATGATGTCTCTCTTATCTTCAGTCCTCATACAAATAATTATCTTCAATTGATATTTATTTCTTATGAATAATTATATAATCTCCATTAGTCAAAAGCCATGGAAAAACAGCTGTTTGAGATAAATCTTTCTTTGCCTTGAATTTGAGGTAAGTTGCTTTAGGGTGATGTCCTTCAAATTCTTAGAGGGCCTATTATTTAACAGAGGACATTTGTAAAGTACATTCTTAAGATCCATAGAGGGCCTTTTATCTATTGTCAGATTTCACTGGGCACCCTCTTTTCCCCTCTGATGTTCAATGAAAAGATCTTATAGTCCTATTCCAGAAATGATCTTTGCCTAGAAGCCATTTTTTTCAAATTTGAGAATATGATAACTGGAGGTCTGGAATACTAATTCATTGTTAAATCTAATAAACCCTTGTTCATTTATCTGTCCTGTATATATTATTAAAGGTAAATATGGGTTTTATTCAGCCCTTCTTTCTCCTTTTGTATGATACTGTAGGTAGGTAGAAGATGAACATACCTTCTACAATCTGCCTGCATATCTCAACTAAACTGTTGGTTCCATTAGATTGATTTCCTGTTTTCCATAGTATTATAGACAATTTGACAAACTTTCTCTCATAATATGCCAAAGGTGAACTTTCCTCCAAACTTGATTAATACTTGCTATGTTTTTTTTTTTTTTCTTTAAATGCTTTCTGATAGCCCGGAGAGGCCCTTGGGCTTCTGTTACCACTGAACTCAAAGCCCTTTAGTCTTTTGCCTACACTTTTCTGCAGGCCCTATAAGCCTTTCCTAAGTCTCACTGATGCCCTCTCAGCTTCACTTGCTGCTTCCCACCCACCCCCCTGTAGGTGAGACTCACTGGCCCTGCGGAGGCAATGCCAAATGCTGCAGTTGTTGGTTATAGCAGCATCCTACTCCAGTTGACCCACCTGTTTCAGTTACCAGTTACTGCATAAGAAGTCACCTCCAAAGTAGTGGCTTAAAAGAAGAGCACTCATTTATTTTGCTTACTTATCTGAAATTCGGACAGAATTTGAAGGCACTGCTCTTCAGCTAGGAATTTTATTCTTTCAATACTGAGCTTTAAACCCAGGGCCTCCTACATGTTAGGAAAACACTCTACCACTGAGCTGTATCCTTAGCCCAACCAGCTGGGGAAATTCAAAGGCTGGTGTGACTTCACCTATGAGGGCTATAATCTTGTTTACAGGGATATTTGTTCTCTTGAAAAGTTGACTTTGTGCTGGGTAGGCTAAATTTGAGGAGTCCCTGAGTATTTGAACTCTATCAATAAATGGAAGCTCAGATGTCTAGATTAAATATAATGATTTCAGGGTCAATGAAATGTAAATGTCTGTTTAACCATTGGTAAGCAGATGAGTGGAATAGAGACATATAAAAAATCACCAGTGAAAATGTATGAGTGGAACTCATAAAACTATTGATATTTATGGGATTACACATAAGCATGAAGACTGAAGACTCATGTCCCAGAAGAAAGAAGAGTACGTGGATTGGTGATATTTTACCAGCACAAAAATGAGGTGGGGGAGTTTTAAGGAAGAAGAAAGGAATGTCAGCTGGTTAACTTTAACTATAGCAGATAGATAATAAGGGTGTGCATGTATACACACACACACAAATGGAAATTTGGGGGTACATTAATCAGATTTGGTTAGTGTTGTAGTCAGGGTAGAAATATGATGCCCACTGAGTAGCAATTAATAGATAGTCAGCCATCAAGTATACATGTTGAGCCACAAAGATGTTCAGTGCTGTTTAGAGATGTGAGTGTTTGACAGGTGATCAATCTGGCATAAAAAAGAGATGTCAAAAGAAGCTTCTACAGTATGAAGCAAGAAGAGTGAATAGAAGGAACTTAACTTCTTCCTCTATTTTATTCTAAGATTGTTTTCAAATGCCAATGCTTTTAAAATGAGAGAATTTTTTTTTTGTACCAGAGATTGAACCCAGAGGCACTTAACCCCTGAGTTGCTGAGGCTGGCCTTGAAGTGTGATCCTCCTGCCTCAGCCTCCTGCATGGCTGGGATTACAGATGTGTTTCACCATGCCCAACTAGAAAACCAGGCTTAACATCACTGAAAAAAAGAGATATGAGTGAAAGATTATGGCATGTGTTATTTTTTTTAATGATTATTTGTTTTTAAACATCAGGACCCCCATGGCTCCATCTCTGCTTGGTGTTACATTCAGTGAACAAGATCTCCAATGGACTTTCTTGAAGAATAAGGCCAAGAAGGTGTTTACTGAAGGTGTCTTCAAAAGATTGATGTGGGCTTTTGGTAGTGAAATATGTATTTAGACTTCATAACTCTTTTTTTTGGGTGTGATGCTGGGGATTGATCCCAGGGCTGTGTGCAGGCAAGGCAAGCACTCTACCAACTGAGCTATATCCCCAGCCCCTAGACTTCATAACTCTTTGCACATCTTTTTCCATGTCCATTGTTTTTCACACGACAGCTCCTAATATAGTTTACATTTCTCCACAAGATCTTCCTATCAAAGCCAGCTTGGCTGCTCATGTTCTCTTTCCCATTTCCTCTCTCCTGACCTGGCTCTTCCCAGCTACGTGCAACTGTCCTGAAGTTGAAGCACATGAGGAAGAACCATTTTTCCCCAAACTGAAAATTAAATAGTATCTAGAAATTTTGTATTCCAAATAAAATTGAGATTAAATTTATGTGTTTCTGTCAATGTATTTATGTGCAGCATTTTGTTGGGGAGGGGATTCTGTGGCAATTGTGTTGTTTATATGTTTGATTGGTAGTGACGCATCAATTAGATTTTCTTTTATTTTTAAATTTATAGTGAGTTAGTTATGTTTAACGGTTCATATCTGATAAGCAATTTGAATTGTGTCCTGAACTGCTTACAAGTGATGAACACTGGTGAATGACAATGACAGGTTTATATGAAATTTACTATGAAATAAATCAGGCACCAGCCTAGCAGTTCGGATGCTCATGTAAATATTCCACATCTAGGATGTATAAACCTGTTCTGCCCAGACATTTTAGAACATGCCTGCTACACCTTCTTGTGCATCCATAATTAACACATAATGAATTTGATCATGCATTCAAAATAAACTTTTTTTAATTAGTACATTTTAGGCACACATGATATTGCTTTTCATTTTCACATAGGCATACAAGTATGGAATAAAATTTGCTCCATTTTTTCCCTAGTACTTCCCCTTGTCCTCTCCTCCCTGCTTATTCCCCTTCCTCTACCCTACTGATCTTCCTTCTATTAGAGCTTTTTTAAGATTGGTATTTTAGAGATATACATAAATGTGGAATTTACTGTGGTGTATTTATATTGGTACATAGATAATTTGGTCAGCCTCACTCTGCAGTCCCTCCCTTCTCCTGTCCCTGTCCCTGTCAGGAAACCCTGAGACATGGATCAAGTCTCAATTTACAAACTTCAGAATCAATAACTCTTAATCTGAACTTAGCCATTCCACAAAGAAACTGCAAGACCTTGAACTAGTTACTTAACCGATCTGAGTCTCTTTTCCTCTCTGTGTAAAATGTCCATGACATCTGTTTTCAAAGGTTGTTGGGAGAATCTACTGAAATAATATATGAAAGAATTATTAGTGTTAACAAATTAAATATTATACTCTAATGTAATATCACTTGCCTTTTAATTGTCTGTATGCATATTTTCTAGATAAATATTCTAGAAATTGTGTGTAAAATGGATGCATTTTTCTCATAAACCTGGAGGTTACCATAATGACCGCATTTTGTTAGTGTTAAATACATACTTGTTGAATGAATAAATAATCCCCCTGCAAGCTGGTTGAATAATTTTTAACACAATTCTTAAAACAGGCATTAGCATCAATGTAAAAACACATTGCATTTGACATATTCATCCCCACACATCTGTGTATTGCATCTTTAAATATCCTTCTTGTGCTGAGAATTTTTAACATTCCTTACATAAATCCAAGAAGTAGTTTTATTCTGTAAAATTTTTACTGGTATAGGCAGAATTGGAGCCATTCATATTGGGTCAAGAGAGTAAAGGAAGAACGTGTATTAGTATACTAAGTATTTGACAAAAACTAGAACTATGTTAACTCTATAGAGAGGTGATACTACTTAAAAGCAAAGGTATGTATTAAGTAACCACAGATAGAATCTGATTTAATCTCATCATAGACACCCTTCACTCTTTAAATATCTAGAAACATAGATAAATGTGCTTGATCCTATAACAGTTCTCTTTTCTCTATCTAAAAATGAAATATTCCATATACTCAGTCTTTCAGTAGAACTATAGGGCTTATTGAATTTTTCTTGATGTAATTATTATTTATTGATAACTATAGGAAAATATTACTTAACATTACAATAATAAACATAAGTGTTATCTGTATAAACATATAATTTTATATCAGTGATGTTCATCTCCATTCCAAAGAATAAAAATTACTATGTTCCTTAATTAAACTGGATTTTGTGATACCATGTATCAAAATGCATGCATTTCAAAACAGAATATATGCAGAACAAGAATGACTAGTTTTGTATCTTCTCCCATGAGCCTCAACAACCCCACATTTTACGAGATGTGCAAAATTTGATTGCAGTGTAAGTGCTGAAAATGGAACTATTAACTTTTTCAGGGTCAATTTCTTTATCTTACATGTGATTCTGTCCCACTAAGCCCTGTTTTTTCTCCCCTGGAACACATGGATGATCTGTCTCCGTATCTGCTTGGTCCTCACACTGTAGACAATGGGGTTCAGCACAGGGGGAAGTAGCAGGTAGGCATTGGCCATGAGTGTGTGCACTACTGGTGATAAGCGTTTCCCAAACCTGTGGATCATGGTGACACCAATGAGAGGAACATAGAAGAGAAGCACAGCACAGATGTGAGAAAGACAAGTGTTGAGGGCTTTGAGCCTTTCCGCTCTGGAGGCAATGCTCAGCACCATCTTCAGGATGAGTACATAAGAAAAGAGGATGATAAGGGCATCTAGCCCCAGCGTGAGAATGACGATGATGAGGCCATAGAGGCTGTTGACGCGGGTGCTGGCACAGGCTAGCCGCATTGCATCTTGGTGAAGACAATACGAATGAGATAAGACATTGGAATGGCAGAAGGGCAGTCGCTTTATAAGGAATGGCACAGGGAAGACCACACAGAATGCCCGGGTGAGGACAGCTATTCCAATCTTTCCAATAACACCATGGGTGAGGATGGAGGCATAGCGTAGTGGGTCTCGGATAGCCACAAATCTGTCAAAGGCCATGGACACTAGAACTCCGGATTCTACTCCTCCTAAACCATGGATAAAGAACATCTGTGTGATGCATGCATCAAAGGAAATCTCAGGGACATTGAACCAGAAGATGCTGAGCATAGTTGGCAAGGTGGACATGGAGAGACTAACATCAGTCAGAGCCAAGAGAGAGAGAAAGTAGTACATGGGCTCATGGAGACTCTGGTCCACCTTGATGACTGCCAGGATGGTACCATTCCCCAAGAGTGTTAGAGTGTAGAGAAATCCCAGTGGAAAGGCCATCCATGGGTTCTTGTCTGGCATCCCTGGGATACCTGTCAGAATGAAACTATGGTGATTGGCCTGTGATGTGCTCAAGTTCATCATGGTCTTCTCAGTACTGGATGAAGTTGGACTCTCCCACTTAGCTCACAGCTCCTAAATTGAAATTATTTTCTCATATGAGATAAGTAAATGAGTACACAGATTAAAAAAAAAAAAACAGAGGGAAGAATTAGGTTAGATACCAGAGTCAAGACACTTTCTGGTTTGTATTTTTGCTTCCTAAGAGAGTTGCATGTAATTGCCTCCTTTTTCTTGAATTTAACTTGTTCTGAAAAACTGAGATGAGACTGAAAACCCAGGGTTCATACAGGAGAGAATTTGGATTGCTTCTCCTTTGGCAATCCTCAAAGTTTGGCAGAAAAGAATCAGCCATATCCAAGGACTTAATAACAGAGCATTTAGTTAAATAATAGTAACTTTAAAATCTCACTTAACTCAATGCCATCACCACACATACACCGATACAGAATACCACTGCCAACACAAATCCACATCATATAAGTCTCTGTGACTATATTTAAAAAAAAAGAACACACGCACATACACACACACACACACACACACACACATACATACACATTGCCTAGGCATTTATTGAACTATATTTGTAATGAATTACATGTGCAGATAGTCACATTTAATTCATGTATTTCAAAAACATTATTTTTCCTAACTTCATTTTAAGATAGTAAAAAACAGAATAAAATTTACTGACCCATACACAACCTCATATAAGATACACAAGAATGTATCATACACACAGATTTTATTTTGAAAGTCTTCTAACACATCAGGAGTTTGGAAGTTATTCCTGGAAACTCTTCCTTCATCCTACCAATATTTAAACAATTTTCATACTTGTCTCTAAAGCATATAAACTGTATTTCTTCTTCCTATTTTTATAACTAATAAATGTTATAGCTTACTTCTTTCAGATTCCCATAATAGATCTTTCTGTATCCACTAGTGCCATTTCTCAATAGATTCTTCATTCTGTAGAATACGTTTTAGAAATCTGATTTATTCATTCAGAATATGTTTTAGAAATCTGATTTATTCATTATAACAAAGGTTACTTCAGAGGCTTCCAATGTACTTAGAGTCCTAAATATCTACATTAGTCTTCAGGGTGAGCATAATTCAGCCCCAAGCTGTTTCTCTAGCACCACTTTATACTATTTGATTTCCCTTTGGTCTCTCTTTTTTTTGGTGGGGGGTTACCAGGCGTTGAACTCAACTCTCAACCACTGAGCCACATCCCCAGCCCTATTTTTCTTTATTTAGAGACAGGGTCTCACTGAGTTGCTTAGCACCTTGCTTTTGCTGAGATTGGCTTTGAACTCGCGATCCTCCTGCCTCAGCCTTCAAGCCCCAGGAATTACAGGTGTTCAACAACACACCTGGTGCTTTGGTCTCTTCAATGCAGCCACATTTGTAGTCTTTAATTTCCTGGATCTCACTAAGATACTCCCTGATATTTTCTTTCTTTCTTTCTTTCTTTCTTTCTTTCTTTCTTTCTTTCTTTCTTTCTTTCTTTCTTTCTTTCTTTCTTTCTTTTTCTTTTTTGCTACTGGGGATTTTACTATTGAGCTACATTCCCAGTTCATTCATATATATATACATGCTAGGCAAGTACTCTACCACTGAGCTACAGCCCCTGTCCTTCCTGCTCCCCTCCAGTACTTTTTAATTTACTTATTTATTATTTTTTGAGATGAGATGTGGATAAGTTGCTGAAACTGATTCTAGAACTTATGATCCTCCTACCTCAGCCTCCCTAGTAGCTAGGATTGTGGGTGTGGGCCACCATGCCCAGCTTGATATAGGTTTTCTACAAAAATTTCCCCCAGTTCCTTTTTCTTTCTCCTACTCTTTCTAATGTTTCCCTTTTCCTAGCCTATCTGTCCTTCTTAAGTAAGTTATTTCTAAGTATTTATGGTAGTTTAAGACTTCTTGGTATGCTGCTTTCACATTCTGGACTTTTTCTTCTTATAAATGAATATAGTTAATTGTACATTATGTAAATATTTATTAAATTTCTCTTTCTCTCTTCTTCTTCTTCCTCTCTCTCTCTCCCTAAAAATTAAATTCACATGAAGAAAATATTTTTTATTCATCACCTCTTTGAGCACATGCAAAGCTTATATGAGCATTTGCTTACGAGTTGAATAAGAGAACAAAAAAATGAATGAATATGGATAATTGAATGTCATTCTTTTTTCAAGGAGTCTTGACAAGCTGCAGACATCTCCTTGATCTTTTTCATAATGATTGGAAACCATTAATTAGGGGGAAAAAACCTTTTCTTCTAAAAGGCCACAGATTACAACTTAAGTGGGAAATTTTTTAGAGGTACTGTAGTATCTTTTATCTCACATTTGTACTTGTGAGAAAAGAGAGAGAAAAAAAAAGTCTTAAGAGCTGGTCTAGGGACCTCAGTCTAGAAGGGGATCAGACCCATTCAACCAGATGGCTTGCCCACTTCTTCTGCTCATGGTTTCTCTGTTGTAGGATAAGGATTTGCTGTTTGGGAAACATGATTACAAAGAAACTATTTTCTGTTCGATATGTTAGGAATCTTGAAAAGTAGTGGAGTTCACTTACGAACGTTGTGTTGTTTCTTGTAAAGAGAATTCAGGCTTCTCTCCAAAAAATAACCAGAGCCAAATCTAAGCAAGCACTTTATGCTTCTGGCTTTGTGCTTCTAATCTTCTTGCTGTACTTTGAGGAAGGAGCTTTGATATACTTGACATGGTAGGTGGAACCATGCTTCTTCAGGTCTGTTGATCCCTCATTCAAAACAACTCTAATAGGTTTCAGTTGGGAATGATCAGTTGGCTCATCCGCACTGGTTATTTTTCTTGGGAAACTCTTGAAAAATCATGAACTCTTAAGTCTGCAGGGCCAGCTGAAGCACTGTCCTTCAATGCAAATAGTTCATTCTTGTTTTCCCCTCCCTTTTAACCATTTGCTGGTCTGATTTTCTTTATCTTAATGTATTCTCCCCATCTTCTCCATTTCCCCCCCTCATTCCTATCCCCATTCTCCAACTTTTCTCATTTATTTTCTTAACTATTTAGCCCTCTATTTTCTCTATCATCTAATGAAATTTCTGTTTATTCTTTTTCCATCTAATTTTTATTTCATATTTTTCTACACACTATGTCCTCTCCTACACAATGTCTTCTTTGGTTCCTAATAATGACACTCATATTTTACCTTGTCTTTATTTCTTAGTTTTACAACAATGAATAACACTCTAGAATATTCTCATCTGTCTTGATCATCTCTCTTTCTAGAATTTCCTTGAGAATTTAATAAAGTAATAAACATAAATAATCCTACTCAGAATTTCCTATGTATATATGGTATGAAAAAGGTCTGTGCTCCAAGTCAGCATTACTTTGGCTCTGTCCTTTACTGAGACTAACAGGCAGGGCACTTATGAAGATTACTCAAACCTCTGGTGGTATATGTAACCATCATGATTCTATAAGGATTTTAAGCTACTTTGGAAAGTATCCCTTGAGGGGTGTAATATAGTCCCATTTGGGCCGTTCCATCCTGATGTCCCTGAGAACTCTCAATCCTTTCTACAGTTGACAACTCTCAAATTTTCTTAATTTTGATTATACTAGTATATTCTCTCTCTCTCTCTCCCTCTCTCCCTCTCTTTCTCTCTCTCTCTCTCTTCCAGCCCAATTTTGGTACAGGTCTTTTAGCTCTAAAGCTAGTCTCAGTCTCAATGATGACATTATGTTGAAATTTTCCCTGTTAAAATAGTGCTGGAGACCACTCTTGCTTTTGGTTGGAGAGGATGATTGTCTAGACACTGTCAACCAAAAAAAAACATGAAGTTCTTTGAAATTGTTGGATTTTCAAGGTTATAAATTGAATCTACAACATATAGATTGTTTCACTTGTTTTAATGCATTTTGATGTAATGATATTTTTTGTTAATAGGACAGCTCTTAAAATTACAGGAACAGCTGGTTCCTCCACCTTGTGTCTTTGTGGAGTCAGTCCTTAAATCATCCACAAGGAGTTGTGTCCCTTTTGATCTCACTTACTTTCCTTCTTAGGTACCTTCATCTTCTGGTAGTAGATATCAAAAATTCAGATATAAATAACTGTACTTTTTAAATCCATGACTTAGAGTGTATGGTAGAATTTTATGTATTTATCTTTTTTGACTATTTTTAATCATTTAATTTAAATGTTATATTAAAAGAAAGCATTGTGCACAATGAGTTAATATGATTTTTTGACAGAGGTATGCATTGTATAATATTTAAATCAGGTTAAATATATCTATCTCCTCAAATATTTCTCAATTGTTTATGGTGAAAACTTTCATAATTCTTTTTTATAGTTTTTTGAAATGTACACTAAATTACTGCCATTTATAGTCACCAGAATCTCTTGTTCCTATCATCCTGTATTAAGTACTCATTGATTAACTTTTTCCCATCCTCCCCTCCATCCTGCTGTGGTAGGCACCATTCTATTCTCAACTTCTATGAGATCAACTTTTTTAGGTTCCACAAATGAGTGCAGTCATCCATGGTTTATTTCACTTAACATAATGTTATCAGTTTTGCAGTGGGGGGGTAGTGAGTGGAATGAGGTGTTCTGGTGTCCGTGCCTTTGGTTGTCATGTGGTCATCTGCTTTCTTTTGAATTCTTGCCATGATTGGCAAGATTGAAGCAGCAATCCTGCTGCAGCATTTGGGAGCTGTGGTCTTTGTGCATTGTCTCATGAAAAGTCTTCCATTTTGCCTTCTAATGTCTCTCCCACCCACACTACCTCCATTAGGAAGCCAGGAGGCATGCCTGCACTGACACCCAAGTCAATGGCATGTATTGTCTGTTGCCTGGGATCTTCATCATTGTCCTAGATACCTTGACCCTTTTGAACCCTTGCATTCTAACATTCTGGGCAATATGGGGCATTGTTTCCCAGGAAGAGTCTCAAGACTGTCAACATCTCTCTCTCATATTTGTGCAGCACTAATCTTCCAGTGCCTATCATTTGTATGATC